ATCAGTTGTAGTATAGGGATTTAGGTGTCAAACACACTTGTGTATATTGAGATGCAAACAATGCTATAAGCTAAGCAAGGTTGGGGATTATGATTATGAAAATAGTAACTCTAACAACCTAGCAATGCAGTAAAAGAAAGCATAATTAAAATGCAAGATGAATCTAAAGCAAGAACTAAGCAGAAACTAATCAAAAACCAAATAAAAGATAACTTAAGCAATACTAAGAAAGATAAAGACTGAATTTAAACTAGCAAAGATAACTAAGCAAAGCGGTTTTAGGATAACTGATAAAACGCAAGATCTAAGGTTCTAAGCAATAGTGGGATTAGTGGCTTTCAAGAGTGGCAAAGCAGATTTCTTGCAAACGCAAACATCAAGCATTCATAAGCAAGCAATTCTCAATATTGCAATCCTAGACAAGGTATTTAAAAGGAACCAGCTTGGCGTCAATAAGCAATTCATATTCAATAAGATTGAAGTGTCAAACCCACTTTTGATGGTGTATTCTTCAACCATGAGCATAAAAAACAGAACCATTCTAGCATAAGAGAAGTACTAAACAAGTAAACAACTCGCACTCAAGCAAGAATTCAGATCAACCTATCAATCTTGTGAACCATGTAAGGACCTATGCAGCTAATCAACCAATTAAAAATATGGACTTAAGCTCACAGTTGCGAAATCCTAACAATGCTAAGCAATGAACAAGAATCAAACAAAGGCATGATCTTTCAATGCACACTATCTAACCATCAAGCAAGGATCTAATAACTTACATTATCTAGCCGTAAGCAAATCATCTAGCAAGGTGAACTTTCACTTTGGTGTCACTGACAAAGGAAACATAGACCAAGCGAGACTATCAAACCAAATAAGCTAACCATGCATAGAAATGAGATATCAAGCCATCAAGTGAATCATATGCATCAACAATACCATATTCAATCAAAAGGGACAAGCTTTAAGAACAGTAAGCACTTTGCAAGGGAAGGAAACAACAGAGAATAAACTAATCAAGCCTAATCACCCCTTAATCACATCTTCACCACCACTTTCCCTTATTAGAACCCTAAATCCAAGGTAAACTACTTATTAATCATGTTTAATCTCATTTATTAGAGTTAAACATGATTAAATGAGATTAAAATGCCAGGGTGCTAAATCATGGTGAAACTAAACTACCAGGGTGCTAAATTAAAGATCAGAAAACAAGATTAAACCATACAAATGCAAACTTTATTAAAGGAAATAGATCTATAGCAAATCGCCTTTTAGGTGCAAGAACAAGATGAAAAGATAAAGATAAGGATAGATAGTTTGAGATAAGATAAAGACAATGTTTTGTAGTTTTCCTTTTATAGTAGGGAACCAAAAGAAGGATACAAAACCTAAAAACAAGATAAGGTCAATGAAAATCCGGTGGTCCACGCACGGATAAGTTATATCGGGGTTGTACAGATGGTGTTCTGCTCAATGTACAACCCCGATATGGCTCGTGCAATGCATATTGGCTTGTGCATCATTCCATGATCACCTTGATGCATCCAATGCCTTAGACTCCTCGATGCAGCTTCTCCTCTTCACGTCCCGCGGCTCACATCGGGCACACTCTCGAGAGGTTTTGCTCGATGCTTCTCTTCGATATGGGACCAATCTTTGCAAAGCTCCTTCTTTGGCATCTTCTTCGAATGTGAGATGCTTCCATCTCCTCTCCAAGTTGTAAAGCCTCCATAAACACCTGAAAAGTACCACAAACATGCAAATGTATGCATATATATGCATTCCTAAACTAAATGCTTGAATATTGACTCTAAGTGCAAATGAGACTAAAATGTTAAACTATAATGCAAAAACAAAAGGGAAAGATGCATGAAATGCAGCCTAAAATGCTCTAATATAGGAATGTATCACTTAACAAAAAATGTTTCTATATATATAAGGAGAGTTTAACGTAATTGTGTTAAAAATAAAGTTTTTCTCTATCTCTAAAAAATGCCTCTCTCTCCTCTACCTCCTCTACATCCTCTCTAGTCATGAATCTCTTCACCTTCCTCTCTTACCATCAATCTCATCTCCATCCTCCATCCTCTCTATCTCGATTATGGTTGTTGTAGATCTAAGTTTATTTTTGCAAATATGCGAATATTTTTGTATAAATTTTGTAGACTTTGTTGCAGATCTGAATTATTTTTTTGTTGCAGATATGTTTTTTTGTTGCTGCAGATCTGATTTTTTTTTTTGTTGCAGATCTGAATTTTGTTTATTTTGTTGCATATATGAATTTTGTTTATTTTGTTGCAGATATGGAAATCTTGTTTTGTTGCAGAGCTGATTTTTTTTTTTTAATTTTGTTGCAGATATGATGTTTGTAAATATAACAGTTTTTGTTGAAATCTGAATTTTAACATTTTTTTCCTTATTGTGCAGATCATAGCTTATTTATTCTCTTTTGGTTTTGTTGGAAGCACGCTTCAGCCGCAGACTTTTCGAGTAGACTTCTCGAGCAGACTTCAGCCACATACATCTGTTTCAGACATTTTGTTTTTATATGCCAATTTTAAGATTTATAATCAGTGACCCTTAAATGTTTTTTATTTATAAGGTCTACTTTATATGTAATGTTGGATTGTATTGAATGTTATTTATCATATTCTTTAATTGTGTGTGTTTATGTATTCTGAAAAAGTGACTTCACTATCAGATTTCATATGCAGACTTATTTGTCAGACTTCATATGTAGACTTCTCGATTACTTCTCTAGTAGACTTCGCAAGTATACTTATATTACATAACATATGGTTTATCTCAACATATTTATATTACATAATAGATTTTTTACATAGACTTCTGAAGTAAACTTCTTACTTAGACTTTTTCTTTGACATTTACTCAGTCATCACCATACTTCTTCCTTGACATCTTACTTAGTCATCATCATCTTTGAACCTTTAATAACACAAGAAAATTAATTCAATTTAAACTACATAAAAACATGTAAAACTCATAAAAAATATATATATATGTAAAACTACTTAGAAATGCCACAACAAGTCTTTCCTCATCCATTCTCCATAAACAGTGGGTATGTGAATTATTCTCTGCAACAAAACAAAATTCAAAACACATTAGAAATCATTGTCGAAAAAGTAGACTGCAAACAAAGTCTACTATGTAGACTTCAAGTGAAGTCTGCAGACTAGTAATCTAAATACCAAATAAAACAAAAAAATTAACTAAAGCTAAACTGTAACAAAAACAAATGTCAAACTCGTACATAAGAAAGAACAATAAATATCACACACATAAGAGTCAAAGAATAAATTTTATTTGTTATAAATATCTGATTAATTAATATTATAAAAATTAATGCCGCAGGTTGCAAATGAAGTCTACTATGTAGACTTCAAGTGAAGTCTACTGACTAAAACGATAAATACCAAATAGAACAAAAAAAAATAATTAAAGCTAAACTATAACAAACAAATATGTCAAACTCCTACATAAGCAAGAACAATAAATAACACACACTTAAGAGTTAAAGAATAAATTTTATTTGTTACAAATATCTGATCAATTAATTTGATAAAAAAAAAAATATTTCACAGACTGCAAAGGAAGTCTACATAGTAGACTTAATAAAACAAGAAACTTGATTTCACCAAATATATATAATATAAACATGTAAAACTGATACAGATGTAAGTACACTTACTAAAACAATCGTAATACCAAGAAAATCTTAAAATTCATTGTAAATTTGATAAAAACACGTATATAAAAAAAAGTGAAATAGTAGACTAACAACAAAGTTTAGAAAAGTAGACTAACAACGAAGTCTACAAATGTAGACTTCTTATGAAGTCTAAATTCTAGATTACTTTTGCAATTGCCAAAAGATGAATAGGGTTCTTCAAAGAAATCTACTCGCTCCGAGAAGTCTACGTAAAAAAAGGTTAGTTTGTAATTGACCAAACTTTGACTTTTTCATAAGAAGTCTACTCGCAAAAATAGACTTCTTCAGAGAAATCTACTTTGAAAGTAGACTTCTTAGAGGTTTGTTTGCAATTGACCAATGTTGACTTTTCATAATAGACTTCGTTTGAAGTCTACTTGGGTTTGTTTTGGGGTTGACCAAACATTGAATTAATTTCCAAAAATAGACTTCAAACAAAGTCTATTTTTCTAAGCAGACTTCAAACGAAGTTTAATCGGAAAAGTCAACATTAGTCAATTGCAAAACTAACCTCAAAGATGTCTACTTTCAAAGTAGAATTCTTTGGAGAAGTCTACTTTTTCGAGTAGACTTCTTATGAAAAAGTCTAAGGTTGGTCAATTGCAAAACTAATCCCTTTTTACGTACACTTCCTTTGAAGTCTACACCATTTTCTTTTGTTGTCAAATACTTCTTAAGAAGTCTACTTTCACGGCACAGAACTGAAAACCTACGAAGTTTGATTGAAAAATCACCTACCAGTGGTATTTAGCTTCTTCAGCCACCGATTTTTTCGATTCTAAACAAGCCCAATCGATTTGCCATACAAAATCACCAGATATGGTAATATCTTAGGACATCAAGTTTTGAAAAGTTAGATTAGAGAGTTTTTGTGCTGAAAATGAAAAAAAAATGGAAGAATTGAAGGTTAGTAGAGGTAATGAGCTTACAAAGCAGAAAAAGGGTTGTTGAAGCAATAAAAGCTTCACATTGGATTTTCGAAAATTAAAAAAATAACAATAATCCGATGGTATTTTCATGAATACATGAAACAATAAGGATGAAATTGGAAGAAAGTGGCTAATGTTAAAATGGGTGAAAAGACAGATTACTTTTCTAATTAACTTCAAAATATAGGTTATATTTTTTTTTGGATAAAATATCAAATTTATTGATCAACTCTGAAAGCTATAGTTGTATTTACAAAGTTTTAGTGTAAATGAAATAAAAAATGAATGAATCCTAATTGACCTCAAACCATCGCATTATTAATCCTCCCAGTTTATGCGGGAAAGTGTACTTTAAGGAGGATATCCGTTGGAATAGCTTTGTCTATCATTCGGGCCATCTGTTGGTGCGTGTTGTACCTGGCTCCATGAATTCGGGCATTCCGCTAGCGCCATATATGGTTAATCGTAGTCTGGAACACCATCTTTAGTAGAATAGTATCAAGGAATCCATGGTTAACCTGAGTTAGATGGCTCAATGTATCATCCCAATCTGGCGATGCTGCACTTTCGAGTATCTTCCTTGCTAATGTCAACCACACTGTGAAGGTATAAGGGCATGCATGGACCAAGTGGTTTCTGGTCTCATCCAGCTCGCCGCAGAAGACACAACTTTGTGTCATCCCCAGTGCTCTCATGTGATCCCTTGTACGTAGTCTGTTTCGTACTGATAACAAAGTGATGAAAGATTGTCTAGGCACAACCCTATTAGAACCACATCAACCTATGCCAAGAGACCTCATTCTCGCGGGGACGGATTTGTTGCCAAGTGCTTGAAGATATCCCTTCATCATTCCACCATAACACGATATCAGAACCTGCATTCGAACAAGGGATATGTTGAGCTAGTATCTTATTTGTTAGTTTCGAGTAGTGCCGACTTCTAAGCCTCCTAATCCTCCAACTAGAATCAGTTGCTGCTTCAGCAGCAGTAGCCTACCTAAGCACCTCAAATATCCGAGTACCTCCCTCCCCTGTTAGGTCCATCAAACATCCCACTTGCATCTTATCATCAAACCAGAATCGAGCTGATTTGCCATCTCGTATTACATATCTGATAAAATGGTAAGCCCGAGTTCTTAGTTTTAACAGTTTCCGCCAAACCCAAGACCCCTTACTACTAGGTTTAATATCCCAAAAAGATCTATCACAGAGTAAATAACGATGAATCCACGCCACCCAGAGAGATCCAGAAAGAGTAAAGTTTCTCCAAATCAAATTCAAAGCAAAGACCCGAGATGAGTCCCTCAGCCGTCTAAGCCCAAGCCCACCCTCTGACTTTGGGTAACAGAGCTCCTCCCAAGATACCTTGGCTTTATGACAGTTATTTGGTGATCCCGACCAAAGAAAAGCGTTGCACATGCTTTCAATCGCTTGCAAACATTTCTTTGGCAAAATATACGCTAAGCTCCAGAAGTTGAGTATACCATTTATTACTGATCTAATCAGTTGTAGCCTCCCTGCATACGAGAGGGGACTGTGCGCCTAAGAGAAGAATCTCTTCTGAATTTTGTCCACCAAAGGCTCATAGTCCATTGCTCCCAACGTTTTAGTCGTTAAAGGCAGCCCCAAATAACGAATTGGTAAAGTTCCCGCTCCTATACCAATGCCACTGATTATGTTCTGCATTTCCAAGTCGCTATCTCCAGCCATATATATAGAAGATTTAGCCACATTAATTTGAAGTCCAGAGATAAGAGCATACTTATCCAAAACCGATATTATATCCTTTAGAGAAGTAGATGTACCATCAGTGAATATCAGTAATCTGCAAAGCTCAAATGTGTAAGACCGACCCCTTATCAGAGAGGATGATATCCAAATTCACCGTTTTCTGCTGCTTTATTCAACATCCGAGATAGAACGTTACTCAGTATGACATATAGATATGGTGACAATGAGCATCCTTACCTAATGCCCCTCGCACTTGTGAAAAAACTCTTCATCTCTATTCACTGCCACTGAGAAGCTAGCAGTTGAAATACATACATAAATCCAGTTTATTATATGTCAGGCAATCTCATTGCTGTCAGAAATTCTCTTATGAACGACCATCGTACTGTGTCAAAAGCTTTAAAGTTATCAAACTTTATAGTACTTCTTGTACTCACATTAGGTTTATGATATCTACTTACAAGTTCTGACGCCAACATCACATTCTCAAGGAGCAGCTTTCCTTTGATAATAACACTTTGATTAGCTTCAATGGTCTCTGGTAATATCCCCTTTAACCGCTTAGCAAGTATTTTTGATATTACTTTGGAGAGCAGGTTGCATCACACTATAGGCCTGTAATCTTTCATCTTCAGTGCATCTTCCGTCTTTGGAATCAGGGTGAGTATTGTAGCATTAACACTATTTGGCATGAACCCAAAGATAAAAAAAGGACTGGACTGGTGTGACGAAATCATTACCAATTATCGACCACCCTGCCATATAGAATTCCTTGGTGAAGCCATCAGGCCCGGGGGCTTTGCCATTGGGAAGAGAATGCAAGGCTGATTTTACCTCCATCGCATTAATAGGTGCAGCAAGGTCAGCAGCAGCACTATCTGAACATCGATATCGAAGGAGGTCCCTGAGGAGGTCCATAGAGATATCTGATGTGTTCAAAGGCTGACTTTGGAGGAATATTTGGAAATGCGATGCTGCTTCTCGCTTTACATCCGTCATATTGGTAAACACTACTCCTTCTTCTCTTTCCAAAGTTTTGATTGAGTTTCGAGCCACTCTACCTGCTGCTACCTGATGTAAGGCTATTGTATTATGGTCCCCCACTGTTAACCATTTTACACAAGACTTCTGCTGAAAGAACCTCTCTTCTACATATGCCAGATGATGCCAACGATCAGATGCCCTTGAGACTGCGAGCATTGTGTCCGCAGTTGGGTTCAGTAGCACCTGGTTTTGGCTAATGCATAGCACCTCATATGCCGCTTTTGTTTGAATCGGTATATCCCCATAGTGCGTCTTGTTAAGTGCCTGAAGACCGTATTTGAGTAGCTTTAGCTGCTTATAGAACTTATAGAGGGCAGCTCGACAGTGATAAAGTGGTGGCGACACCTCCTAGACACGAGCTACGGTTGACAGAAACTGATCGTGATCCACCAAATAGTTAAAGAATTTGAAAGGCTTGCGCGTATTCCATACTGGCTGCGAGAGCCGACCAACACGCCTTACATGATCAGAAATTCCTCCAGCCTCAAAGTTAGCATATGACTGTGGAAAAGCAGTGAGCCTAGCCCCATTGATCGGAGCTCTATCCAACTTCTTACCAATCGGGTCACACTGTCTTTTATTCCACCATGTGTATAAGGCACCTACATGTGCGAGGTCCACCAGGTTACATTCTGCTACCAAATTCTGAAACTGTCTCATATCCCCTTGACTTGCTCACTGGGTATGACCCCTCGAGTGCTCATTTCTTGCCAATGTTGCATTGTAGTCGCCCATCAAGATCCAGGGGTGACCAAGATGACCATAGACATTCTCTATTTCCCGTATTTCATCCCACAATTCTCTTCTCTCTGCTTCAAAGTTCGATGCATACATTGCTGAACAAATAAGTACCTCATTTGTGCTTATCACTTGAATGGGACATGTGATGATTTGAGCAGTCTTATGTAGCAATGTGACACTTACTTCTCCTGACCAGCAAAACCAGATACGCCCACACCTATGATAGTCATAATTCTGCATAGATTGCCAACTTGGTATTGCTGATTCCATAACTTCCTTCTGATTCTTCTGAAGAACTCTTGTTTCCACCAAACAGCCAAACAGAGGCTTAGTTTCTTATTGGTTATATTTGTAAGAAACCCTTCCCTTTTTCCATTTCTTCTTCTTTTCCCTTTCTTTTCTCACCTCACTGATTCAAAACCAGATCTCGTCGTCTTCGCCGCTTCAGCCACCACATCTTGTTTCATCATCATCCCAATTGCATGGATAACTCGTCTGTTTCCTTTTATCCTTTTATTTTGAAGTTTTGATATTAATTAAGTAAGTGTAATAGTTATAGGTGGTTAAAAAATTGTATTGTTATGAGATTTTTGTATCTTAAGTGTGGTGGATCTGATTATTTAGGGTTAGAATAATTTTTGATTCTTAGATTTGATTTTTAGAAATTAATTCTTTATAAAATTGAAAGGGGTTATTGGGAGATAGATTTTAAAGATTTTTTAAATTTTGAGATTTCATCATTATTGGTTTATAGATCTTTAAAATCTTAATAGAATTCATTGTTATTGGTTTCAAAATTTTAAAATTCCATCCAAAATACTCTGTTATTCAAAAAGTTTGGTTTTTAAAGATTTTATAATTCTATTAAAATCTTGTGTTATTTGGACATGGATTTTCAACAATTTAACTCACAAAACAAAATTTAACAAGACTTTTAAAATATTACGTATATGGCTTAGATTCTCAAAATAAATATAGTAAAATATTTTGATAGATTTTTAAAATATACAAACTCTTTCCAAATTTAATAAAGGGAGATTATTTGAAGATTGAGTCATAAAATTTTGATTGATTTTAAGAGTTGATAAAATTGTTAAATTTGTTAAATTTGGAAAGAGGTTGTATACCTAAAAAATTGAAGAAGAACTTTTTGGGTCTCAATTCAATCCCTCTCTAATTGTAGTATAGATGAGGTTTATCAATCTTTTGTGGGGATAGTGTAATGGAGATGCAGAAGCTTGTTAAGCTAAGCTAAAAAAGGATTTTAAAAGTTCAAGTAACTAAGTTACACACAAGCAAGAAAACTAAAGAGTTCAAACCATGAAAACTAAAGACCTTAAAAGTAAACAAGGTGAATGCAATAATGAGCAATAAAAACAGAGCAAAACATGGCAACTGCTAAACAAATTCAGAATTTAAAAGCAAGGTTCAAGGCTATGGCAATGAATATAGAATTCATTGTTCATGATTAAGATGATCAAAACAAGCAATTCTAAACACTCAACCTTAGGTAAAGAAACACTGTTATAGATATCAATCCCTTTGACTCAATGCATTTCAAACCAACTTGTGATGATGTATTTACAAAGAGCAAGCATTAATTACAAGTTCCATATAACTAGAAAGCATCCTAGCATCTAATTTTTTAGGCTAGTACTACTAATCTATTGTGCAATGGTTCAGACTTCTACTCACACTTGTGATGCATAATAGAAATCTAGGAAAAGTTTCACCATTGTGGACATAAGGTATGAATATATTTAAGCAAGAGGTAAAGATGCAAAGAGATATGATCATTTAAACATCAACTTCATGGAATGAAACCTTTAGGAATTTCATCAAATACATAGAGTGCACATGAAATCCTAACATTTGCTTATCCTTCAAAGAGGTCCTAGGTATTAAGCACAATCACACAAGAAAGGGAATGAGAAGATCTAAGTCATAAACACCTTAATCAATCACAAGAATCACCCCACCTGCCTTAACCATAAACCAGAACGAAACTACTCCCTAACCATAGCTAAAGCCACGAAAATAACAAAGAGAAACAAGATAAACATGATTAAGAACTAGCATAATAAATATATGTAAAGACAATGCAAGAATTTATAAAAAAGGATGATCTTTATTTTACAAATCCCAAGACTCTCTCCCTTGTTCTTCACAGGGTCGAAATTAAGGATAAGAAACAAGATAAGTGCTTAAAAAGATAAGCCAAAAGCTTATAAAGATGAAAGGATAAGGTTTGGTCAAAAGCAGAAAAAGTTTGTCAACAGCGCGGATAAAGTGCATCGGGCAAAATGGATTATGTTTTGCTCGATGCATTAGGTCGATGCAGTCTGTCCCTGTTGCTTCAGCTTTGGTCGGTTCAGCATGCATCGGGCTGGGTTTTGGTCGATGCGCTTCCCCGGTACAGCGAGCTGGTGAACACTGCACATCTGGAATCACTCTATCTCTTGAACCCCAGATCCAAATGACATGATTCTACCACTATTAGAAAGCTCTTCCGATCCTATACATCTTTCATGAAGAATGTGGAGCCTGAATATGTGTGGAGAGGCTTCTTTCGGACTGATCCTTAACTCACATCCTGTTGAACCGAGCAAAGACCTCGATGTGGGACCGATACAGCTTCTAACCAGCTTGGCTTCATTCTTCTTGCATATTTCATTGACTCCAGATGATCCTCCATCCTCCATTAACTGTCTTTAGCCCCAAAAACCACTAAAATACACCTCAAACATGTAAATTTATGCATTCTTAATCTAAATGCATGCATGGCTACTTCTATATGCAAATGGGACTAAAATGATAAGATAAATGCAAGAACAAGAGAAAATATGTATAAAAATACATCCTAAAGCACTACAATATAGCAAGCTATCAACACCTCCATACTTAGTCTTTGCTTGCCCTCAAGCAAACAAAACATTTAGCATGGTGATGAGGTTTTAAAATGAGAACTCGGATCTTTAAAATGCTAACAATGAATCAAAATGATGTCTATGTTTGTAGTGCTAGAATGCAAATGATGGAACAAAGCTATAAAACTTAGCCACACTTATCACAAAATAAAAATGATTCCTAAGTTATCAATCTAGATAAGCTCTCAAATCACTAGACCTTTTTAACATTCAATTAACAAGTAACCAATGGATCAAGTTTGTGGAAACCAAGTGAAAGCATTTGGTTTAAGGGGCATGTTTATGAGATGAAAATGATCTCATGCATATTGGGTCTAAAGTAACAAGGGATCTCTCATATGAAAGGAATATATCTTAGGCAAAATGCTAAAGGTAAAAAGCACACTTATGCATGCAAGTCAAAGCTCTCTTCTACCCTTTCCCAAAGATGATCCTAATTAAGTCTAAGTCCCAAGATAAACCTCTAAATCTACCCTTTCCCAAAGCTCTTTTGATCTTTTTCTTCTTGAAATGTGGGGTACTTCTTCTTCTTTTGCTAGTGTTGCTGACTTCTTTTAGAACTTGCTCTTCTTTGCTGTATAGGCGCCAATTTTCATCTCTTTTTTGGTGAAAATGATCTCATGCATATTGGGTCTAAAGTAACAAGATATTTCAAAGTTCAAATTGAGGTTCCACTTATATAAAGGTCAAGATTAAATCAAGCAAGCATCAACTTCAAACAAGAGTTTAAAAATCATAAATTCGAAGAGTAGTTCAGCCTTATTTCAAGTATTTCATCAAATGCACAAATGACTAAGAACAAAGGCATCATTTTCATAAACCATTAGCATTTTCAAAGATTCATTATCATTGCACCCAATTTAAACAAGAGAGCTACAACCTAAGTGAATGCATAAAGTCTAAGTCCTATATGAATGCACATGAACACTCTGTTTTTAAGAAATCAATTTTTGAAAATTTTCAAATTTTTATGGATTTTCTATGACTTAAGTGCAATACATGGTTGCTTAGCTATATGTAAATACAAATGTGATATGGATGCAGAATGTTAGTCCAAGCAAACCCTCCCCCACACTTAGAATACACAGTCCTCTGTGTATTATAAACCAAAAGGAGGCAAACCACAATGTAAAAAATATGAAGTATAAAGGACAATATGTAAAGAGTAAAGGAAGAGGAAGGTGTGTAGTTGCACTGGAGGTTGGAGGGGTGGAGGATAGACATTCATAACAGTGTAGAAGGCCAGTGGAGACCATTGGGAAGTGCCATCCCTTTAATCCTGGTGTTTTGAGATGCATTTGTCTGTATCGAGCTGGGCCCTTGGTGTTCTGTTCGATGTGCATCCCCGATATGATAACCTTGCTGTACACCAGCTTACTGTAATCGCCGTATCTTTCAAAACACGAATCAGAATGACTTGAAACTTCCACCATTCGAAAGCTTACTCCATCCTATACATCTTCAGTGAAGAACTCAGAGATTGGATCGGATCGTAAAGCCTCCGTTTGGGTCGATCAATCGGGAGATCAAAATTTGTCCTGCATCTGTCTGGGCCTTGGGTGGTCTGTTCGATGTGAATGTCCGATATTATCACCATCGAGCAGGGCCTTTAAGGTTTTGCTTGATGTGGCACCTCGATATGATCGCCATCATGCATCTAGCTCGATGTATGCACTGCTTCTTCCTCGAGATAAACTGCATCCGACAGAGTTTTCAGAGGTTCTGCTCAATATGGTACCCTGATGCAGAAACAGAGCTTTAGTTTTCTTGGATTTTTCACATTATCTGACCTATTCAAGCACTTTTTCCAACCTGAAATCACTCAACAAACATTTCAAAAGCAAAAGGAAAGCATATTTACATAGATAGTCAGGGGATTAGCTCCCAAGTATGCTTGTTTTAAGTAACTAAGCTTGACTTTTCACCCTTGATGATCATGGATGTGGATGAAGTGGAACCAATGTTCCTTCCCCTTTCTAGACAAACAAAGCATCACCCCTTATGTAGAGCTTCTTCTTGGGGTTCCTGGCTCTCTTCTTTGGTAGTTGTGGTTCATCATGATGCATCTTAATCTCATCAAACAAGCCAAGTAGACAATCACCATCAAAGGCTTCATTCATTGTGGTCAGGAGGGTCTTCATCTTGTTTCTGCACTTATAATCCCATCAGCTGTTCCATGAAGTCAGGTGGCTTCTTAGCAATATACTCAAGCTTATCCTCAACGTGTGATGCTTCATCCTTGAGTAAAGGCTCTTGCTTCTTCTTCATGTGTTCAGCTTGTGTCTCTTGGAGAAGGTGTTCTTTAGCAAACTCCTTTATGGCATAAAACACTGCAACAAGCTTTCATACTCAGCCACTTCCTTTTCAGCCTTTTCTTTTTCTAAATCAAGCTCCTCTTCTCTGTCCAAACTTTGAATGAACGGCTCAACAATGTCCACAGCTTCTTGATCATCAATGGCGATGTTTAAGACATCTCCCCCATGCCTAGATTCCTCCATGTCCCTATGGAGTAACAGCTCTTGAAGCATATTTCCAAGATCTTCTAATGAAGCATCTTCATCATCACTCAACTCTTCATCCTCT